GTGATGCGAAGGGTCACTTTGTTCTATTTCTTGCAATATACAACCAAGTAAGCAGCTTATTTATTTATTATGTCTAATAAAGTTTTAAAAATACTATATTATTCTATCCATGATTGTATAGACAGTAGTTTGTATAATCCAGGTTTCAAAATCAATAGGAAAAAATCATGTTCTGGATGCATGTATGAAGAGGTCAACAATGGTTTTTCCTTATGCTCTTTTAGTGAAAATTAATTTCTGTGTAACAGAGCACTACTTTGGTATCAGTATACCAGATACTGGTGGTAGTGTAACATGGGATTTACTAATTCCTGGTTCAGGAGTGGCAATGGAATTGTGCTCATGTACATATAATCAAAATGTTGGTTTTTCAAATAATGGGTTGTTACATTACAGTAATAGGGATGGTACAGATCAATGCATTCAGTCAAATGTAGACAATAGCAAATCTACAGTGAGTTCACATATTCAACTAGTCATGAAATGTGTCAAACTGAGGATTCTGCTCAAGCTTCATGCATAATAGCATGAACAGTAAGTATATGCAGTAAGATTGCTTCACCATTTCTTCAAAAGAGTACTCTACCATCTCTGTTATGTCAAGTCTAGATTTAAGCTTTACATTAACATTATCATCATCATAATGCATCATTACTGTCAACATCCTCAGTTTCTTCAACATCAACAGTATCCCCAGTACAATCATCATCAACAGTACCACATTACACTGGTATTGGTTTATTAGTAGCTACTAACCTACTGACAGTCATTGCATTAATCAGTAGCTGTGTCTACATATTCTGCCAGAGGAAAAAATCAAAATTGTAAGTGTTTGTATCATTACAACACTCTTTAATATAACTATTACTTTTTAGCATTGTAACTGAGAATAACTGAATACCTTTACAAAACACATCTCCTCAAACTGAAGCAACAAGGTATATGTAGCAGTAGGGACAATTGCACCAGTAACAGGGAATATAATAGGAGCAGCAGCACTGAGGAGCAGTGATTGGTGCTGGAATAGGAGCTACCATTTCAGGTGTTGTAGTAAGTATGAAATGTAAGAAGAAGGAACAACCTCCAGACACAAAACAAAAGGATTGACATATGGTAGAACCGGCCTACATGTAGATGATACTTAATGTTATTATTATTATTATTATTATTATTATTATTGTTATTATTATTATTGTTATTATTACTGATTGTTATTTGTATTGCTATTCCCTACTCTTTGATTGTGAGCATTTAGTTAGTGAGTTTTGATTTTTGTGATTAATAATTAAAGATTATATTCAAAATGGTGACAATCCACGACTGAAAAAATACATTACAGTAGACATTAGAATATACTATTGTAGCTATATCAGCATAATTATTACAAGAATATACTCTTAATGATAGATACAATGTATATAGGTCAGATAATAATAGCAAATTAACAAAACATTGGAGTAACCATTAAATAACTGATAACAGGAAATGAACTGATACGGCACTGTGACAATCCCCTTTATCATTATCTGGTATAATGGCTACCCCTGAGGGCCCTACTGAAGTCAATACTTCTATTCAATCAGAACAACAAGATACTGAACAGGGACCTACTGAAATCAGTGCTTCTATTCAAGATTTCAACGAATCACAAAAGAGGAAGACAGAAGCAGCAAAAAAAGATGGAGCCAAAGAAAAGAGCCAGTCAATATGTTAGTGACTGGTCCTACTGGAGCTGGTAAATCAACACTAGTCAATGCTTTACTGGGAGATGCTGTGGCTAAAGTTGGTTATGGAGCAGCATCAGTTCAGTCTGAAGTTTAAGTGCATGAAGGAAAACATGAAGGAATACAGTTGAAGGTCTATGATACTACTGGGTTCAGTGATACAAGAGGGAAGAGTGGCAATAGCATTGTTAGAGAGATTGCACAAGCTGGCAAGTTTGATCTGATACTGATCTGTGTCAGAATGGATTCCAGAGCAGATGAAAAAGTTAAAGATATGTTCAGGGTTCTTGGAAAAATGATAAATAAGGAGATGTGGGATAGAACTGTGATCGTGCTGACATGTACAAATTTTTTCCTTCAAGATAGAGAAATTAAGAAATCTCTTAACAAAGAAGAGATAATAAAAAGTAAAATAGAAGATTTTAAAGGCCACATTCATGGATTCCTTAGCAGCACACTGAAGAAGGACACAATTGATAAGATACCATTCTGCATCGCTGGAGAAGAAGATAAGAAAAAACTACCAACAACTCATGACTGGATAAGAGAACTATGGGGTCAGTGTCTCTATCGTTGCAAAGAGGATGTTCGTAATTTCCTTAGTTTAATAGAAAAATGTCAAATCACGCTAATGGAAACAGGACCTATTTATGGTGGGACTGCAGTTGGAGCAGTGGTAGGTGGAGCAATAGGAGGAGCAGCAGGATCAATTGTACCAGGAACAGGGAATATAATAGGGGCTGCAGCAGGGGCTGTGATTGGTGCTGGAGTAGGAGCTACCATTTCAGGTGTTGCATTAGCTGTGAAACATAAGAAGAAGGAACAACCTTCGGGCACAGAACAAAAGAATTGACAATTGATAGTAGAACCAGTCTACATGTACATAATATTTAATGCTGTTAGTATTATTATTATTATTACTATTATTAGTGATTGTTATTTGTATTACACTTACTTAGTCAGTTTTGGTTTTTGTGATATACTATTGTAGCTATATCAGCATAATTATTACAAGAATGTACTTGGGATAATAGATAGGTCAGATAACTAGACGAATGTAAAACATTAAGGGGCTCAGCCCCCTAGCCACGCTATATTTTAAAGGTTATATGGTATAGAGCTACATTATTGTACATGTACATGAGTAAATACAGTAGTTTGTAAGTTTGTAATAAAGTTATCATGCTTGGAAATACAAATTTTCTTTATCAGTTTATCACATTCTGCAGCAAAAAAGTTGTGTTGGAAGCCAGAGACAGTAACTGCAGTCATAGGTTATGTCAGTAGTTGTGGAGGCTTTACAAGCTCACAACTGTGGCATATCTGCCTTGTTAATCTTCCTTGCTGTATTTGGAAAGTAGTAGAGACTTCTCTTGCATTCTTGCTGACTCAAGTGAGTGACTTGTAACTTATAAGGTCAAGAACATGAAGAACAATGAAGAATTGATAGCTGGTGCCATTTTATTTCACTGTGACCACACCCGTTTTCAAAGAAGATTAAGATTAGGTTATTAAAATAGGAAAATTTTTCATACGGATAAATAGAGGTGACGTACGTGTACAAACACACAAACATACTCTACTCGAACTAGTGGGCTTCGCCCAATTATAGCAAATTAACAAAACATTAGAGTAACCATCCAATAACTGATAAGAGGAAATGAAGTGATAAGGTATTGTTATAGTAATCCCCTTGATCATTATCTGGTATAATGGCTACCCCTGAGGGCCCCACCGAAGTCAATTGTTCCATTAAATCAGTTGAACAAGATAATAGTAATTTCAATGAAGAAGAAGAGAAGCAGATACAAGAAGCCATACTAAGATTGAGCCAAAGAGAAGAGCCGGTCAATATATTAGTGATTGGTCCCACTGGTGTTGGTAAATCAACACTGATCAATGCTTTACTGGGAAACACTGTAGCTAAAGTTGGTTATGGAGCAGGATCAGTAACATCAGAAGTTGAAGTATATGAAGGAGAATATAGAGGTATAAAGTTAAGGGTCTATGATACTGCTGGATTCAGTGACACAGAAGGAAAGAGCAATGTTGCTATTGTTAGAGAGATTGCTGAAGAAAAAAAGTTTGATCTGATACTAATCTGCATGAGAATGGACGGCAGAGCAGACAAAGGAGTTAAAGATATGTTCACGTCTCTTGGAGATATGATGAATAAGGAGATGTGGGAGAGAAGTGTGATTGTGCTGACACATACAAATACATC